TGTTAGCTCAGGGCTGATCTCCCTCACAAAAAAATAAAATTAGAATAAAATAAAATAAAATAATAAAATAAAATAAAATAAAATAAAATAAAATAACTAGCACAGTGTCTGGCAGAGAGAGCACTTTTTTGTGTGTGTGAGGAAGATTAGCCCTGAGCTAACATCTGTGCCAATCTTCCTCTATTTTATATGTGGGCTGCCACATATGGCTTGCTGAGCAGAGTGTGCGTCCACGCCCAAGATCCGAACCCGCGAACCCCAGGCCGCCAAAGCGGAGCACAGGAACTTAACCACTACGCCACCAGGCCGGCCCCACAGAGCACTTTAAAAATATTTGTTCTCTTCATACATGGGAGGCAAAGAGTTGCCCCGTATAAAAATGAAAAAAGCCATGGTTGATGAATAGGTGGAGCACAGAGAATTTTTAGGGCAATAAAACCATTCTGATACTATAATGGTGGACACATGTCATTATAAATTTGTCCAAACCCATAGAACATACAACACCAAGAGTGAACCCTAATGTAAACTATGGACTTTGGGTGATAATGATGTGTCAATGTTGATTCATCAATTATAACAAATGTACCATTCTGGTGGGGGATGCTGATAACAGGGGAGGTTGTGTATATGTGGGTCTGTGGGTATATGGGAAATCTCCGTATCTTCTGCTCAATATTGCTGTGAACCTAAAACTGCTCAAAAAAACAAAATCTATTTTTTTAAAAAAGCCATGGGTTTAGAAAAATATGACTAATTTTGGCTATTTCTAATCCAATGCAGAATTTCTATCATAGCTATTTCATTATAGCTGTCAGAGGAGAATATTGTTATAAATCAAACATTAATGCAGTGTTGACCCTGAAAATTACAGCTACTAGTATCTATCAACCTAAAAAACAAAGCAGGAGAAATGTACACATCTGTTCACATACAAGACATGTACAAGAACGTTCATGGAAGCACTGTGTGTATTAGCCCCACACTGGAAACAACTTAAATGTCCATCTGTGGTAGAATTGTGGTATACTTACACAATGGAATAATAAATATTGATGACAATAAACAGCTACAACTACACATGACATGGAAGAACCTCACAAAAAATAATAAAGAGCAAAAGAACCAAATACCCAAAAATAAACACATTATAATTTCATTAATATAAAATTCAACATGAGGCGAAACTCACCTATGGTATGATAAGTCAGGATAGTGGCTATCGTTGGGAGGGGGATAATGGTGACTGGAAGGGGGCTTCTAGGATTCCCGGGGTATTCTGTTTCTTCATCTGGGAGTTGGTTACACAAATGTGTTCACTTTGTGAAAAATTATTGTGCTCTATAGTTATAATTTGTGTATTTTCCAGAATGTATTATTGTGTATATATATGTTTATATACCAATAAAATTTACCAAAAAAATAAAGAGTAAAGTTAATTCACAAAATTGGCATTAAATATGAAAGATACCAGGTCCAGCCTGGAATTTATTCATTCAACTACTTATTGAAATTCACTTTGTACTCAGTACTGTGTTTGATTTTGGTAATATAATGGTAAGTGTTATGGCTTGAATCGTGTCCTCCCAAAGTTCATATGTTGCAGCCCTAACACCCAGTACCTCAAAATGTGACCTTATTTGGAGATAGGGTCTTTACAGAGGTAATCAAGTTAAAATGAGGTCATTAGGGTGGGCCCTAATCCATTATGACTGGTCTCCTATAAGAAGAGGAAATTTGGACACAAACACACATAGGGGGAAGATGACATAAGAGACATAGAGAAGATGGCCACCTATAAGCCAAGGGGAAAGGCAGAGGCCTGGAACAGCTTATTCCTTTACAGTCCTCTGAAGGAACCAATCCTGTAGATACCTTGATTTCAGACTTCCAGCCTTCAGAACTATGAGATAATAAATTTCTGTTGGTTAAGCCACTCAGTTTATGGTACTTTGTTTCAGCAGCCCTAGAAAACAAATACAGTAACCCTCCCCCATTTCCCACACCCTCAAAAGGTATTGTCCTTCCCCAATAAAAAGTATTGTCCCTGACTACAACCGTGATAATGGCAATAAAAGACAGCCTATAAAAGGGAAAACTGGCATAAGTAAGGAAGTCACGAAAGGCCTCGCTGAGGAAGTTTTAACTAAGCTAAGATCTGAAGTAAAAGAAAGTATTAACCAGGTAAAAAGAAAGGAATGAGCCTTCCAGGTAGAAAAAATAGCATATTTTAAAGCCCTTTACAGGAGGAACAGAAAGAAGGCAAGTTTCTGTCTTGAAGAAAGTGAGGAGTATGGTAGGAGATGAGGCTGGGAAGGCAGCTGGAATCCTGATAATGCAGAGTTTTTTAGGCCATGTTAAGGATTTTGGACTTTATCCCCAAAAGCAATGAGATAAGACAACCAAACATTTAGTGCATCATTATAGGATGGAATGTGAAGTACTCAGCATCACAAAGAAGCACTCAGCATCTTTGCCAAAATAGTTGAACCTAAATCTAGTCAAGTCTTTAGAGCTAACTTCCATTTATGGGAAATACGGGAAATAGAAGAACAAGTTAAATAACACCATAAAGAAGCAATCAGACAAATCCAGAATGTGGAACATTCTCACTAACAGCCAAGCCAGTCCAACCAGTCAATGGCAAGAGCAGAAAAAAGACAGGGAAGGAGGCATACTCCAGATGCAGAGACACAACCACCAAATAGAACACACAAACCTTGTTTAGATCCTAACTGGAACAACCCAACTGTAAAAAGGCATTCTTAAGCAATTGGTAAAATAAGAATATAGAATGGATATTAGACGATAAGGAATTATTGTTAATTATTTAAAAAAATATGCTGTCTTCCCACTGAATTTGTAATCTTGAGAGCAGAGACCATACACCAAATAGGTATTCAGTATGTGCTGCTGATGCTGATGGTGAATCACGGTATTTAAAATTTAGACAGAAGGTCAGAAAAGCACTGGGAAATCATTTGTACCTTTCTAGAAGTACTGAATTTTTGAGTTGTAAATGACAAGAGGAATTGTCTAGTGAAAATAAATTCATGAGGAAAAGGACACAAAGCTAGATCGTGGTAGAGCTGGTCCAGAACACAGGCTCCTATGCCACGAGGCTCACGTTTATACCTCTTTCAGTGCAGCTTGCAGGGAGGTTCTTACCACTTCCGAGCCCTTTGTAGCTCACAACTCAACTCTTTCTCCTGCCCCCACTTGACTTTATATTCCTGCTCTTCATCCCAACTCCATCTCCAGGCATTTTAATTTATACTCACTTGACAAGTTTTACTTTCCTTGGGAAAACTGCCAAAGGTAATGCTAACAAAGACGGAATAATAATGAGTGGAGGAAAAACATGTTAAAACCAAAGCCAAATTAACAGTAACGAGAACAATAGCTGCTATTCCAAGCTTTTTCCAGATTTATGTTTCTACTTCATCCTCCTGGCCTTCATGGACACATTTTTTTCTAAGTTCTGTCAATGGACACATAATAGCTTTCTGTTAATCATACCAGTCTCAAACAAGAAAAGGTTTTAAGCCATTGATACATAAAGAATCAATGCTGCTGAAATATTCTCTTTCGATTCCTTTTTTCCATCCTTCATCTTTCCAAAAATCATAGCCAAAAGTCAAAATATTATTAGTTATTATAAGCCTTTTATCAATAAGGCTTTTAAATTGTGCACATGTATTACTTTAAAAAATATTATGTTTTAGAAAACCGAATTATAATTATCCAGTACTGTGTTTAGCAATATATGGAAAAATTGAGAACTCAGCCAGCACTTTTTTGGATTTATATGATAAGCCAAGCAACCTAATATTAGTGTAGACAAATAGCTTAATATAGGCAGTAAAGTATTTCAATATATCAAATACTCCAAAGGAGGATAATTACACAAATACAAATGGATAGCTTTGTGGGATTTAGTAAGTATAAACCAAGTAGAGGAACATGTGTTTCTGGAACCTATTACATAGAAATAACAGTTATCTTCTACTAAGTTCCTCCATTATGTTCTATATATATACTACACATACATATCACTAATCCCTACAACAAACCTTTAGGGGAGGTATTTCTGCCCATATTTTAGAGAGTAAAAGGTAGGACCAGAATTTGAATATGAGGCTGTCTGATTCCAAGTTTATATTCTTTCCACTACAAATTTAAAAATATACATTCAATTTAAATTTAGGAGGGAAAAGCTTATGCTCTTTACTTATTCTATTTAATAGCAGCTCATTTATAGCAGCAGATCATGTTTCATGATCAAGGCTAACATTCACCTGGTATGTTCCGGTGTGGCATAGGGGCTGAAAGCTATTCTGATTAGCTGAGTATCTTTTCTGTTTGATTGGTGCCTGTGCCATACTGATCATTAAATATTCTGAATATTACACCTGTCCATGACACAGAACTCTGAGTTTTCAATCAAATAACTTATTCAGACACTTGAAATCACCCAAAACCACTTCTTATAACATATTTTCCGTGCCTACAGGTATCCCAGGTCTACTTCTATGCAAAATTTGGTGGTCCTCTCTCTAGGTAAGAACATGCTAGGATTCCCAACTTTTAAAGTAGAAGACTAATGTTTGCCATTTTTATACACCAAAGCAGGGGGCACATCTTTAACCCAGTAGTACAAAATATATGCTCTAGGTTTTCACCAGTGAGTCCAACCTTGAAATGACATCTTGCCTCTCTTGTTGATGCTTGGGAAATCAGTCTAACAGAAAGGATACTATGCACACCTTCCTCAGTTCTTGCTATCAAATTAGATCACCAGAAAGGAACATATCTAGACATTAGCTTATGCCCTTAGATAGAAATGCCTAAACTGAGTTTTATACAAAGTTATATTCTTGGATTTATCAAGATTCAATATAAAAAATGACCATATGGAAAAAAAGGAAGCAATGGTATAAATGTTTCAAGGACAAATCCAAATGTCATCATAACAAAAGAAGCATGATTTATTTCTGAGAGCTTCATACTCTAGATTTATTCATAAGTTAGTTATGCCAAAATCAATTTGCCCAACCAACATACATAAAATGTTGTACAAGCTCCCTCAACTGGTTAAGATATAGAACTACCAAAAAACATGTTCCATTAAGTTGAGTGTATCATCCTCTTCAGAAATTTCTGTAACTCCAGCCTGAGATCGAAGAATGGACATGATGTTATTAGATAATTTGTCAAAGCCATTCTGTAAACATATATCTGCCATTTCTTGCCAACTTTCTAGGGAGCAAAATGGATCATTTATCATAAGATATTCAACTGCATCTGAGGGAAAAAAACACATTATAGTATGGCACTTATTTAATAATCCATACTTTACACTTAGAAATTCTTCGAAAATAGAAAAGGATATCTTTTCAACTTAGTTGCTATTAAACCTGATTCCCATACCTGATTCCTATAAGTCTAACGTGGCGTGCTTAGTCCAGCTCATGATAAGTATTCAAGTGTTAGTTCCTTCTCCTCCTTTTTCATTAAACTTTTTATGCCTCAATTCAACCCTCTACCATTTCTCACGTTCCCCACCCCTCCACTCATCCCCTTCTTGGTAAGGTTAGCAGATATTGAAAGCTATGAGAAGGGAGCTCAGAAAGTGAAGAATGTGGCTCAGCCTCATTCAGAGAGTCTATAAGGTACCACTACAAATTATCAAATAACTGAGTGCTTATAGGTCTACTTTTAGGTTTTAGGTCTTAGATTTTAGGCTTATAGGTCATGATCCTTCAAACACTTTTATAAATGCCCTAGTAATGCTGACCCAAAGGCTTAAAGACTCTTTGGCAAACCCCCCATCCTATCTCTAGCTAGAGACCTGTTAATGATGGGGCTTCTGCAACAAATATTTTTCTAAAGGAAATAAAAGAAAGATTTTATTAAAAAAAAACTAATGATATTATTTACTTCTGAAAATCAATTATAGTGACCCTCTGTGGGATATATCTATTTATGGAACTTATTTCTTATCTACTACTTGCATTATTTACAATACTTAATGGAGGAAGATCTCTTTTTAGAATACTGTCATCACTATTATTTTATTTCTACCATGATTATTATTTTTCTATCAAATAAAATATTTTAGTTGACACCTATAATGATAATTTCAAAATAATCTTCCCAAATATGTTTCATGTAATTCACTATTCATTCTTTGACCCCATACAGTAATTTAAAGTCAAGTTCTCTGCTCAAGTTCCTATATTCAATTAGAGAAAGGAAAAAAAAAAAGTGAGATCTAATTAGTTATTCTTGATCCCACTGCAGAGCTAGGTTCAGAGTAAATATCATATGTAAATGATATTTACATATATATTTGGTTTAGGAATAAAAAATGCAGTTTATGTCTAAATAACATTTAAAACACATATTAAAATTACTAAATATACACATGTTAAAAACATAGAGTTTTTTTTAAGGGTTAGCTGTTATAATTATGACATTCCCCTCAAGCGTCATAAGGACTCTGTCTTCATTCTAATTCCTCCAAGAAATATATACCATTGGCAAGAGATTATTATTAACATGGTAATCTTTACATTTATAAACTCCTAAAGTTACCTCTTGCCAAGAAGGAACTCTTAGGAAGATTGAGTTAACTCAAACATAATAATCTTGAACCTTTCCCTAAATAACTCACTACTATTTCTTTTACAACATTTTATTCTGCTTACCTTTTCCACCTTTATTTATTTCTTGAAGTAGCTTAATGCCAACTGTTTTCATATCTGCAGAGAACAAATAAAGTATAGCAAGACCAAAGGATAAAGATGGTGGCTTCCCATTCCATTCTTTAGTGAGACACTGAATTAATTCAGTGTGGGGACATAACTTTATTAGCTGCATGAGGTCATCTGAAAGGAAAAATGAAAAACTATGTCTCAACATCCTAACATGATACATCAACTAGAAACTGGGACCACCTAATGTCTATATCTGCCAATCAACACTTCTTTTTTCAATCCTTCCAAAGCCCTCAATGAACTCAACAGTACTATCTCCAAGCAAAAAAAAATCATGCTCGCCACAGCAAAAAACAAAGGAAAACTGCCTATAACAAAGAGTACCAGAAAAAAAATTTATCAAAGAACTGTCGTGAAAAGAAATGTGGTATAATAAAAAGGATTAGACTGGTAATCAGGAAACCTGATTTCTAATCATAGCTTCATCAAATCAGAGCTAATCAAAGCTTAATCTTTTGGATCTCAGTTTTTGCATCTTAAAAGTGCTAGCACTGGTATCTCCAGTTTCTAAGGTTCCATCTAATAACTATGTTATGTTTGTCTGTACCTTGTTGCTTATATTTGGGCCAACTTCTAGTCAATATAATGTCTTTCTGTGCCTTGTACAGAAAAAGGGGCTCAGTATTTTTTTTCCTAAAATTATCAAGTATTTAGAAACTCAAAAATGAAGATTTTAAGAAGCTATTAGCTAGTTCAAGTAGCTACAGGTTGAGCCACATGAAGTTGCCCACAGTTCACTATTTTTGACTCCAAAAAAAAGCAATTTCATATTGTTTAATCTAATAGTTAAACATTGAAGTAATAGAAAGCTATAATCATGATTTATATTCTTAAATTTATAAACTTTGTGTTAACTTCCTAAATCTTTTAAAGTAAAAATATTCTTCTTGAGCCACAACAGAGGTAATTTTCAGAATAATTTCTGAGAGCCTTTCAAAAACCTACCATAAACACAATTTGCACTCTGAAAGGCAGTACAAGGTAATCTAGTGTTTGTTAACTACATATTTACTGTACTGGGAACTTACATATATTAAATCATTGCATTTAACATTCAGTATTAGTGAAATATTCTTACAAGTGAGGAAACAGGCTTAGAGAAGTTAATTTTCCCACAGTTGTACACATGGTACAAAGTAGAACAGTTCATATGACCCTCAGAGTTCATGACGTTCCAATCTATAGTGCTGCTCCTCCAAAATAATAAATATATATGTGTGCATTGTACGTGTGTATGTATATATACACATACACGCACATACATACAGAGAGAGAGAGAGAGAAATGATAAAAGAGGAAACAAGGAATAGCAGAATATAATTCTATATCAATGAATTCAAACAATTAAAAAAATTTTTTCCTAGAGAAGAGGTAGACGTGTATGATTTGGGTCACCCAAACTGGCCTCCACTAAGGTGAAGCTATTTATACAGCACCCCGAAGCCTCCAACATTTCATAACTCACCCATCTCTCTTGATTTAATTCAATCAGGTATTCAAATCCCCTACTCCATGAATTGATTAATTAACCAATATTTACTCAATTATGTGCAGGATATGGTCTCTGACCAATTATAAAGGACACAAATTCAAATCCTATGACCTTCGTCCTCTGCTTATGACACTTTAGAATCCATTTCTTTATTCCTTGGTTTGACATGTTATTAATCATTATTTATCTCATGTATGTTCAGTTTTAATAAGATTATAAGGGCCTATCTACCAAGTATGGTATCTGTTTAACTCACAAATATCTAGAACAGTGGTTCTCAAAACATGGTCTAAGGTTTATAAAGTCAAAACTATTTTCATAAAAATACTAATTGTTATTTGCCTTTTTCATTTTCATTCTCTCACAAATACATATTGATGTTTTCTAGAGGCTACATGGGATACATGTGATATCACAACAGATTGAATATAGGAGCAGACATGGGAAGCCAGCTATCTTCTAAGCATTAAAATGTCTATTAAACCAGACATTACAGAGATTTGCAAAAATGTAAAACCATGAAATTGTTTGGTTTTGGAAAAGTTATTTTTCATAAAAAATATTTTATTTATGATAACATGTAATGTGTTTAATGTTGTTTTATTTTATTTTATTTTTTGTTTTGTTTTGTTTTTGCTGGCCCTAATGTTGTTATTTTAAGTGAATAAATAAATATTTTTAAGTTTTCTGTTTTAATGTCTAATAGGATAAATATCAATAGGTATAACCCACATAAATAAAAGCTCTTTGGGATCTTCAATGCTTTTTAAAAGTGTAAAGGAGGGGCCAGCCCAGTGGCCTACTGGTTAAGTTTGGCACGCTTTGCTTTGGAAGCCTGGCTTTGGTTCCTGGGCACAGACCTACACCCACTTGTCAGTGGCCATGCTGTGGCAGTGACCCACATACAAAAAAGAGGAAGATTGGCAACAGATGTTAGCTCAAGGTGAATCTTCCTCAAGCAAAAAAGAGGAAGACTGGCACCAGATGTTAGCTCAGGGTGAATCTTCCTCAGCAAAAACAAAAAAAAACGTGTAAATGAGACCTGAGACCAGAAAGTTTGAGAGCCTCAGATCTAGAATAATCCAGTTTCCAGATAGGTACATTCAATTGTTTAATGATAATGGGGAAGGTGAACAAAGAAATCATTTCAGGCTTGCTTCTAGAAATTATTAGGGGGGGAGAAAACAAAAAGAGTCTTTACTTCTAAAAGAGACACTCTATTAGTCAGATTTATGCTTTTGGAACAAAAGACCTTTTTAAGACTTTTCTGTTTTTGTTTTGTTCTGATTGGTGGGGTTTTTTTTGTTTTTTGTTTTTTTGGTGAGGAAGATTAGCCCCGAGCTAACATCCGATGCCAATCTTCCTCTTTTTTTGCTGAGGAAGACTGGCCCTGGGCTAACATCTATGCCCATCTTCCTCTATTTTACAGGGGATGCTGCCACAGCATGGCTTGACAAGCGGTGCATCAGTGCGTGCCTGGGATCCAAACCCGTGAACCCCGGGCCGCCAAAGTGGAGCACGTGCACTTGACCACTACGCCACCTGGCCGGCCCCTTGTCTTGTTTTTTTAATTTGTAAATATAGGGGCCGGCCCGGTGGCACAAGTGGTTAGGTGTGCGCACTCCGCTGCGGCAGCCCGGGGTCCGCCGGTTCCGATCCCAGGCGTGCACCGATGCACCGCTTATCAGGCCATGCTGTGGTGGCATCACATATAAAGTAGAGGAAGATGGGCACGGATGTTAGCCCAGGGCCAGTCTTCCTTAGCAAAAAAAGAGGAGGATTGGCAGATGTTACCTCAGGGCCGATCTTCCTCACACACACACAAAAATAAATAAATAAATAAAAAATTTGCAAATATAAAGCTGATAGTCTAAATCTGAGAAAGAACATTTTTTTTCTGGAACCAGAAAGTATTAACTGAATCTGTCCCCCGAGGCCAAAGATGGTACCTTGGAAAGCTGTGGCTGTTTCTCATTAAAAAGTAAAATAAGAAAAGTAACTTTTCAAACACTGTTTCTATCTTTTAAGCTTAATTTTTATCAGGTTATTATTATTTTCATCTTATGATGTGGTGCTAAATAAATTCTGAGAATAAATATCAAGGTTCTAATTATATAGGAGTGTTATTACTTCTTAAATTATTACAATATATATTTAATTATTTTAGAGTATAATGCACTACTAGAGGAACAGAATAATATGATAATGAGTCAATCACATTTCTATGCACTTATAGGAGGCAAATTTTGCAAACAAAAAGACACTTCACATTTCATTCAATAAAAATTCTGAGAGTAATTAAAACTATATTCCATGACTAACTAAAATATAATTTTTACCTATGAGAAAATAACACTTAACACAGAAACTGAATCTGTATGTTTATATAATATAATAATAAAATATATAATTCATTCAACAAATATTAATTGAGTACCTACTATACCAGATTCTATTCTGTTGCTGTGTGCGTACAGTCAAATTACTTGCCTCTCGTGCTTTAGCCTCTCTGTGGAAACATAGTTTTTTTCATCTATAAAACAAGGATAATAACAAAACCTACTTCATAGAGTTAACATAGGGATTTGGTAAGATAATGCATGTAAAAAGCCAAACTAGGGGCCGGCCCAGTGGCGCAAGCCGTTTGGTGCGCGCGCTCCGCTGTGGCGGCCTGGGGTACGCCGGTTTGGATCCTGGGTGCACACCTGATACACCGCTTGTAAAGCCATGCTGTGGCAGCGTCCCACATAAAGTGGAGGAAGATGGGCATGGATGTTAGCCCAGGGCCAGTCTTACTCAGCCAAAAGAGGAGGATTGGCAGATGTTAGCTCAGGGCCGATCTTCCTCACAAAAAAAAAAAAAAGCCAAACTATCAGCTATTATTACCCTAATAGTATCAGGCATGCTGTTATATAATGAATGAAGAAATTAGTAACTTTAAAAAACAGATTCTGCAAGACCCATATATATGCGGCATACAAGAGACACACTTCAGACCTAAAGACACTCACAAACTGAAAGTGAAGGGATGGAAAAAGATACTCCACGCAAATGGCAATGAAAAGAAAGCTGGGGTAGGAGTACTCATATCAGACA